TGTCTTGACTGTTTTAATTTATTTTTTTTTTTTAATGGGTGCAACCCAAAAACTCAACTCTGCAGTTCAACCCATAAATGTTTGTTTTCCTTACAAATGAGGCAGAAGTTAAGCAGGCATTCCAACAGTAAAGGATTTATTTATTTATTTGCCAAAAAGCATCGTTACAAGAAAGCAATTATCAGCTAAACACAAATGTCTTTGTGTTTTGTGCCAAGTTTATTTCAGTGTATTGAGTTGAATCTACTGATGAAAGCTAAAACTAATGTTTTCAATTATAAAGACATTTTTTGTGAGCATTTACACCGTAACATTCAAAATCCCCCAAAGAAGCTCCTATCTGATCCGTTACAAATATAGCTTCTGGCAACAACAAACAAACAAAAAAAAAAAAATCCACAAAACAAAAAGTAATCTGAAGAGGAGGTCGAAGGGGATCAGATGTGGTGCTTACAGTTATCCTGAACAGATGTAGATGAACGGAAAGAGATGAAGACCAGTGCTGAGGTGCTTCTTTCAACAGCAGCACACATCAGAACGACAACCGGGAACTTGTTTGTGTGTGCGCCGCAATGATATTGAGGATTACTCACTTTCCTCTCAGGATTACACAAGACTCACAAATCCCCTGCTAGTCTAAATGTGCCATCTACACTGAACACCAATCCTCCATACGTCCATGTACGTACCCAATGGATCAGAGCAGAATTATTTTCCTAAAGCCTCAGAAAATAAAAAGAACTCATGGCAGATTTTAGTTTTTTTTTAATATCCAAGACTAAAATCTGCTTCGCTGTAGTTTTTTGTTGTGGTTGTTCTTTCCCTCCACATGTATTCTAAAGCAGAGTAAATATACTATAAGAAAGTATAAGAAAATCAGTCTTTGCACAAAAACATCATCATCCCACTTCAGTTTTGGTCGTCCCTCAGGAAGAAGCGCATCATTCGATGATTTAAACAGCCGATGCACACAGTTCACTGAGGTGCCGACAAACTTCTGGCCAATCACAGCTCGTCGTGTCGTGTCCGTCCAATGGCGGTCAGTTTGGAGAGCTGAGCGCTGAACTTTCCTTCATTGTGGGTCACTGGAAGTCAGAACAGAAAAATACCATCAAAAACAAGCAAACAAATAAACATGTTGGATATAGTGTATGTGCATGCATTTGCTTTTTGTAGTGGTATAAAAAACACTTAATATCGTGCAGTTTACAAGCCTTGATAATAAACTAATTTGTAGTAGCAGAACATTTTTTATTGGAATTACCACAGTTACTTTTCTTTGTTGTATTTACTGTGTGTGAAAGAGATTTAATAGAGATTTAGGTATTTTTACCAGAGACTTAACAGTGTTACCTGCAGGCTAAACATTTTAAAGACCTAAATGACGATGCTGATGTGCTTCATCAGGAGTGTCAAACTCGACTACATAAAGGGGCCAAAATTTTAAACTTTTTCCAAGTCATGAGCTAATTTCAGTCCATGCAGTAACCCAAATCAGATACCAGACATCTTTCCTTCCAGGTTCATAAGCAGGAGTTAAATTGGTCCCATTTGATGTCTCCTCCACGTCAAAATTAAATATTACTGAAAAATCCAACCTTTTTTTCTGGCATCAACGTTAGCCAGCTCTCATGAGAAACCTGCATTAAATCTTTTTTTTTTAAAGCAAAACGAGAAGCAATAAACACATTTTTCATTTAAATTATAGTTTTGGGGGCCATATAAGATGTTAACAAGTGCCAGATTTGACCCACGGGCCTCGAGTTTGACACGTAACTCATCTATTGGATCATAAAATTTAAGGTTCCTTATTGTCATTCGCATCACATGTGGTACAAGAGGTGGAATGAAATTGTGTACTCAAGGTCCCAGTTACAACCAAAAATAGCAAAAATACAAAGTATAAAAAGAAACTGTATACAAAGATCCAACGCTAAACACTAATAATGTATAGCAAGGTACATTAAACGGTATATTAAATATTAAACCAGATATTTACACCAGAAACTAAAAACAAACAAAAACATCTAATTTTAAAAAGTTTTACAGTACAAATAAAAAATGTCAACTTATTCATTTGTTTTCAGAGTTATAAGCTTGTGTTTGACATCATGAATGCATTCAATAATATATAAACAACAGAACATTAGTTTTATCTAGAGTTAATTAAAGGAAGAACCATTGAGACCGATTCAGCCTGAGAAAGGCTGAGAGTCGGTTTCAGACCGATCAAGTCTCAGGACTCAGTTTAATCCAACATAAATTGGTAAATTAAAACATCAGATTTATTAAACAAGCCTATTTTATCTCTAATGCGTTTGTGGTTGCTTTTAAATAATATTTTAAATGTCAAGGTACAGTGTTTTTTCGCAGTGTTTTCCATCCTTCAGTAAAACGTGGGTGGGTGCCTTGGCCCGTCAGATACCCACTCCCTGAGGCCAAAAGTGGTCCCACGGGCCGCCACTTGGCAATACTCTGTAGAACAACAAATACTTGTGTGTAATTACCATTATTATTATCATTATTTTAATCTGTAGGTGATAAAAGTTCAAGTTAAGTTCATGCATGGAACGCCTGCTTTGTCCTTACTGCCCCCCTCACACAAACGGAGTTTATCGTTTTTATTTTAAGTTTATTTTAAGAAAACTAAATACATAAAGAAAATGTTTAGATGATTTTCTTTAAACATCAATAAAAGTATCTGTTGAAGATCCGCAAGTCAGCCTGTCAGAAGTAGGCACTTTAATAAATTATCGTATTTTTCGCTGTACAAGTCACACTTTTTTTGCATAAATTAGCATGCCCGCGACTTATACAGCGAAGCGGCTTATTTATGTTTTTTACCCCATATTTATAAACCAATTTTTGGCTGAGATTTGACGATTTCATTCATTCTGACAAGGAAAATATTGAACACTACCATTTTCAGCCACTAGAGGGCCCTTGAGCAATAATGCAAGCCAAGTGTCTCATTACTAGGTAAAAGTGGCTATTAATGAGACACTTTGCTTGCCATAAAAGCCACCTTCATTTCGCTCTGGAACTCCTGGAGCAAACGTCAAATCGGCCACATTTTGCCGCACCGCCCCGGCAAAATGCGGCCGATTTGACCATTAAAGTACATTTATTAAGGAAAAGTTCAACTGAGACACGCCTTTACTATAATGTCAAGCAAACAAATAATTGTTTTTAGATGGTTATCTTGTTTAATTTAGAAGAAATGTACAGAGAGTCCTCCCGCGTTTTTGCGAACCGATTTTTGAAATGCAGCTGATTTGACCGTCAAAGTGCATTTATTAAGGAAAAGTTAGACTGAGACAATCCTTTACTATAATTTTTAGTAAACAAATAATTGTTTTTAAGTGTTAACCTTGTTAAGTTCTTGTTAAAGTCCTCCCATGCACGCACGCTCCCGCGGCCATCATTTGGCAGCCAAATCGATTTTTTGCACAACACGCCCACGTTTCTGGGTGGTCAGCGGTGACACGTAACAAAAGCGAAACATCAGCGGTGACGCATAATAGATGTGACTTATATGGTGAAATGACGTATTTATGTTTTATTTCCACTTTATTAGACATATTTGGGCTGACGTGACTTATATGACGGTGCGACATTTGTATCTTGTACTTATTTATGAAAAACATGAGAATATTTGTCTCTTCTTTTAATCAAAGGTGGGCTGGAGATAATCCCAGTTTAAATTGGAGCAGTGTACACTGTCACAGTGACAGAGCTAAATCATGCAAACACATAGAAAACCTTTTATATACACAGATGAATTAGATTCACCAAGTAAACCAAAATACATGCATTTGAACTGTGGCTTGTTGTTGCATACACTATACAGAATGCAAAAGTGCATAAAATTAAACAGAGAAAACTTATTTTTATAATTTTGGAGGGAGATATCTGGGCTTAATTTTCATTTTCTTTTGAGAAAAGCTCATAGATTATTCCAGAATTAAAAAAAAACAGATTTATAGCAAAAAATGAATTGTCTGTTTATTTAGGAAAAAAATGTTCATGAATGAGTTTATAAACTGATCTCTTCTGGTGATGACCTGAACAGCTCCCTCCTGTGGAGCGTCTCAAGCATGAACAGAAAAGCTTTTCTTAAGTGAGTTTTTTTTTTAAATTTTTTAAAGGGAAAGAATTTTGCATATTGTACTACGCTCAGATAAGCAATCTATCCCTGGAAATGATGGTTGCAAGTGTTTCCCCGTGATGGGATTATGCTTAAGTCTGCCATCGCCGCTGACTTCGGAGCCTGTAAGCCTGTGTACTTTAGTGTCTAATCTGCTGAAAATGACAGCTGAAGTAAATTGCTGGTTGGGATGAATTGTCAAATCCTGCTAATCACAGTCTGGAACTGAAGCTGCGATGGGGATTTGTGCAGAAGCTGAACAACAAGTAACGCTGCAGGGACAAATGAAAGCCCACTCACAACTGGAGCATATGTTTAGGAGGGAAGTCTGCAGGGAACTTGCAACATAGAGAGAACTTGGGGGGGGGGGGGGGGGGAGAGAGGGAGATCGATGTGACAAGCAGAGGGAGTTGATTGAACACTTGGAGACACAATCAATTTCTCACCTGTTGATTCTCCTACGATAAATTCCTCTGGTTTCAAAGGTACGTCACTCTGTCCTCCTGCTGCTGTCTGAGACTGAGGAGGGAAAAGAGAGGAAGAGAAATCAGAACAAACAAGGGAACAATATATATTTGTGCAAGAGACAGAGCGGTAAAATAAGGCAATTCAACAGCAAGGTCGAGGAGACGCCGCTCTCTCTGTGTGGGCAGGTGTGCTTGTTCATTTTTTGTCCTGTTGTTTTAGTGACGTGACTTTGTGTTTGTCTTTTTGTGCTTTCAGGGCACAGAGCCAGTGCAGGAGGAGGAAACATGGGCTCCCACTAATGACGTGAATTTCAGCACTGTCCTTGCTGGGGGAAAGGAGGCGTGTCAAGGTGTACTTTGCTTCAGACGACCGCATCGGAGTGACTGAGCTCAGACGGAGTCCGGACATGAACCTTTCCACCAAACATCCTGTGCAACAAGACAACTTCACGTTCCACTCAAGGAACAAAAACAAAGGCTTGATGTCTCTCCGGCTTGCATTAAATTGATACCAGCTGGGGCGTAGCTATGGCCTTTGTTGGAGGATAAATAATCTAAAAGTGCAGAAAAACATCCAATAATAGGTTTCCATAGCGACAATGACGTGGTATTATTACCATTAGGGGAGAGGATGTGAAGTAAAGCCAATAAAGTGCAAGAGGCAGCGTCGTTTATTATGTGGTCAGAAACACTGTGGTAAAGATGTGAAATGAAAAAAAACATTTACTACAAAATATTATTTTAAACTACAGAAATTTAGTAGCAGAAACTATATTGGCACTTTGTCAGAGAATAACATGAATACTTGTGAAAATGATCTCTTGTTGCTTTTTTGGGGGGAAAAAAAAAAAAAGAAGTTGATGTTTTTATATTTTTGTGAGAATATTTTCAAGTTGTGAAATAATAATCGAGAAAAAAAAAGAAACTATGTTGTTTAAAGACTAAAAGTTATATGTTTTGATAAATGAATACATTTTTAAAGAGATGCGTTAAAGATCATAAGTTGAGATTTCTAAGGACGGTGTTAAAAAAGGCTGTTACAAAAATAAAAACAGTCACAAAACCAACTCTAAAAAAGTTTGATGGACTTAAAGTCTTCCTTCAGACCATGTGTCCAGTTGAATGGACATTCATGATCTGCATCATTACTCACCCAGGAGGGGTTCATCAAATGAGGTACGAAGAGCAAAGCGAGTAAATGTAGTCGTCTGACAGCAGTGGTGATGGGAGTATTATGGTTTGGGCCCATTCTGCCACTATCCCTGATAGGACTGAAGGTTCTGAGTTATATAAGTAACAAAGAGTCAGACTTGTGATTGTTATAAAGTGGTACTAATTTTGTGTCCAGGCCTTGAACTCACTATGAAAGTGCAGCGTACTTAAGAAAATGAGGAAAATGGACAAGTGGGAGACTCACAGGAGCTGAGGGATGCAGACCTTCCATAGCTTGTTGGTACCAAAAAACTATTTCATGTCTACCAAACCGATCATTGATGCATTCTTTTAAGTCAACTAAAATAATGGAACAACAAGTTCTGTCTTTGTGACAGGCTGCTGGTAAATAAAGTGCCTACAGATGCAGTTTAGTTCTTCTCTAAAGTTGTCTTTTGTGCATTGATACGACACAGATTCATCCTTTGAGAGGTTTTATGTCTGAACGATTTATAGATCAGCATTAAGTGGCTTAAAAAAAGAAACAAAGAAAAAATAATCTGACAATACTCTGGTTAGACTGAACATGAGAGAAAAAGCAGCCAAAAAAAAAAAAAAAAAAGAATAAAAACTTCAGAAAGCCTGCATGCTGCTGATTAATCTCTTTAAAAATAAACTTTAAAACAGGGAGCAAAATGTGAAGAAATAAGGAATGACTCAAGACTTTTGCACAGTCTAGTAAATCTGCAGGAAAATATCTTGAAATGTGACAAGATTAAAGTTAAAGCTGTTTTTTTTTTTTTAAAGAACTAAAATTATTCCAATCTGAAAAATGTCAAACCACATCCATGTTTCATTTAGTAACGCTAAATGTTGAGACTTTTCCTGCTCACATGAATCATATCAGATCATTTTCTTTCTAAATGTCATCTTTTGTAAAAGAGCCAAAGATATTTAGGTCACGGAGATTCAGCCACTACTGCCTGAATAAAGTCAATAATAAACTAGAGAAATTGCATATCCTGATGCATGTTCAATAATCCAGGTATAAAAATCTAAAAAAGTTAAATTTTGTCCTAGACATTAAAAAAAAAAAAAAAAAAAAAAAATTGTAGAAAAGTTTCGTCTTTCATCCGAAAGACTTACTCAGTCTGAGGAGCTGTATTCAGCTCAGTCTCTTAAATAGCACCTTCTCAGAGTGGATAAACCAGTTTTGCTGCTGACAACCAAAACCAGCTGATCACATGGTCAAGAAGGACCATCAGCCTAACAATGGATCATTAGCATGCTGATGGCTGTTTACTACTCACAGGGGGTTGAGTGATACTAGCAATCACAGCATTGTAAGAGGGGGACAGTTGAACCCGGAGGCCTCCACCCCTGTTTAATGATGGACGATTTCTTTTCACAAAGATGGCCTCCTTTACTCCTCTCTCAAACCATCGTTCCTCTCTATCCAGGATGTGAACATCTTCATCCCTGAAAGAGTGACCGCTGGCCTGGAGATGAGTGTAGACCGCAGAGTCCTGGCCTGATGATGTTGATCTTCTGTGCTGGTCCATCCTTTTGGCCAGTGGCTGTTTAGTTTCCCCGATGTAAGACTGATCACAGCCCTCCTGACACTGAACAGCATACACAACATTGCTCTGTTTGTGCCGGGGGACTGGATCTTTGGGATGAACCAGTCTTTGCCGTAATGTATTTTGGGGTTTAAAAGCCACTGGGACGTTATGTTTAGAAAATAAACGTCTCAGTTTCTCTGATACCCCCTCAACATACGGAATGACCACTGGTCTGGGTTCCTCTTTTCACCTGATGGCTGACTGGAGTCCTGTTTGGGTTTCTTCTCTGCTTTCAGGAAGGCCCAGTTAGGATATCCACATTGCTCTAGAGCCTGTCTTGTGTGGGATTTCTCCTTCTGCCTGGCTCCTGAGTTAGTGGGGACGCTGTCTGCTCTGTGATACAGAGTCCTGATGACTCCTAACTTGTGCTCCAAAGGGTGATGGGAGTCAAACTGCAAATACTGGTCTGTGTGGGTGGGTTTGCGGTACACCTCAGTTTGCAAATGTCCTCTATCAGAGACTGAGACCTCACAGTCCAAGAAAACCAACCTGCCATTTTTTACATTTTCTCGTGTGAACTTGATGTATTTATCCACAGAGTTGATGTGGTCAGTAAAATGTTGGACTTCCTGAGATTTAATTTTAACCCAGGTGTCGTCAACATACCTGAACCAATGACTTGGTGGTGTCCCTGAAAAGGACGTCAAGGCTCTCTTTTCTACCTCCTCCATGTACAGGTTGGCAACAATAGGAGAAACTGGAGACCCCATAGCACACCCATGTTTCTGCCTATAATATTGCTCCCCATATGTGAAGTAGGTTGACTGCAGGCACAGTTTCAAGAGTTGACACAGTTGTTCTGTGGAAAGCGTGGTCCTGCTGCTCAGGGTAGTGTCTGATTTTAATCTTAACCTGACCACCTCTACTGCATCATCAACAGGAATGCACGTAAAGAGTGATGTGACATCAAAAGAGACCATTGTTTCATCAGTCTCCATGATGACATCCCTCACCTTATCCACAAAGTCCATGGTGTTCTGTATGTGGTGTTCTGAGCTGCCAACTAAAGGGATGAGTACAGACGCCAGATATTTGGAAACATTGTAAGTGACAGAGTTAATCATGCTAACAATAGGTCTTAAAGGTACACCTTGTTTGTGGATTTTAGGTAAACCATACAGACTAGGTGTGGCCTCCCCTGGGTACAGTCTGTGGTACAGAAAACGGTCAATAGCCTTATCCTGCTCCTTGCCTGAAAAATTTGGAGCACTGTACCACAGACTGTAATTCATCATTCCAACTGTAATGCTATATGCACAAGTTTATCTCAAAAAGAGGTCGCTCACGTTAAATTCTGTCATTAAATGTCTACGTTGTCACAGAAGATGAGATTAAAGAGCAGATGATGACATATATTTTAATTTAATACTAAATGCGCTTTATAGAAAAAGAAGAAAAAAAGACAAACTGCAGAACAAACAAAAATAAAAACAGCCTCGAGTCTCATTCCTGAAACTGAAATGCTGCTGGTTCTCTGCTGAAACATTCATTATTTGCAGGCTAAGCAAAACAAACAGGATTTCGCCCTGGTTTTCTGTAATGAAAGGCTTTTTATCTCTACACTGACAAAGCGACATAAAGAAAATATCAAACAGAATTGCTTTATTGCTGTTTGTTTCTTCTCCTCAGCCTGAAGAGCTCTGGATGAGTGTTAGAGCAGCACTTTAAGGTTGTCATCTATTTTGGTCTCCAGTTACCGCACTGAGGTTAATAACTAAATAGTGGTGAATTAAAGAGTGGTGGCACAGAGCTTAGAAGATGGGCCTGTGATTGGAAAGTCGCAGGTTCAACTCCCGATACAGTCAACATCAAAATGAGGGTGGAAAAGGTGGAACACCCACACCTCCCTCCACCCTCATTCACCCCACCCTGGGCCCCTGAGCAAGGCCCCTAACCCCCACCCATCTGCTCCCTAAAACAGGTCTCTCTTGAAAATGAGTTCTCGTGGCTCAATGAGACTATCTGTATAAATAAAGGGTAAATGAAAATTAAAAAAAAAAGAAATCATAAAGGTTTTTTTAATATTAATATCAGCTACACATTTCAAGTGTTACATAAAGATTTACCTCAATTTAAAATAAAAAAGATCCACATGTGGTGTAGAAGTTGTTTAAATGGGAGTATAAATGAAGGCTGCCACTTCTCATTTTGTTATATTTGACTTGCTGCTCATAAATCAGAATCATCTCACAATTTCACATAAACAGAAATAAAATTATTAGTGTTTTTTTTTAATACTTACATATGCATTAGCATATTCGATTTTGGTTCCCTTCAGCTCAGCTTTGAACTGAGTAAAAAACAGGTATGATTTCCCCTGAGGCCTGGCAGGAATGAAACAAGAAATATTAATCAGCATTAAGCATTCACTGGCACGAGTACATGAAACCACAGCATTAGAAGTTTAGTTGTTTTTTTTTTTTTTTGCCACAGCTGAATAAATCAATATTGTGACTCAGAAGAGATGCAGACGGGACGCCAGGCCCGCTGCACACAGCTCTGCACGGTGCGAGTCAGAGCGTGGGCAGGAATCATTACTCTTAAGGACAAACATCAAGTTGAGGAGTTCTCTGATTGACCGTGGCTCACCTCCACAAAGAGCAAGAAAACAGTTTGTCATCATCACTCAGGCCCACGCTCATCAACCATTGCTGTTTGACAAGAAACAAGAATCATTTTACTGTTAAACCTGCTGACAATAATCCGAGCAATAAAGAGGCGAGAGACACAAACCTCATTGGTTCCCCCTTGTGAGGCGTAAGTGAACGTGCACTCGTACTCCCTCTGAAAGCAGATACAACACATTGTTACATTGCTAGTATATAGATTATTTATGGTACTTTGACATAACTGGAGTTACTTTTTCTTTTGTTCATAACTTTAAGAATGAAAATCTAACATTTCATAACCACAAGTGAAGCTTGTTTCTTTCTTTTTTTTGCTCTTTTGATCTAAAATTATTAAAGAATTATAATCGTCTGCTCTATTGCTCACAGATTTTTCATTTGCTTTGTGCTGTACAAATATATTGCTGTAGTTCTTGGTTTTGCACCAACGCTTTGTTCAGATCAGACAAAAAGGCAGATAATTTTCTTTCTTCTTTACAAACTCCTTTATGAAAACAGAATAAAAAGTATCCACTCAAGTGCTGCCTTTAACACTTTTTTAGAGTCGGTGAGATTGATCAGTAGCCCATAATCAAATTAATTCATAATACACAGTGGTGCTTGAAAGTTTGTGACCGCTTTGGAATTTTCTATATTTGATGACATAAAACATCATCAGATTTCCACACAAGTCCTAAAAGGTAGATAAAGAGAACCCAGTTAAACAAATGGGACAAAAATATTAAACTTGGTCATTTATTTATTGAGGAAAATGATCCAATATGACATATTTATGGTGGTAAAAGTATGTGAACCTTTTCTATCAGTATCTGGTGTGACCCCCCTGTGCAGCAATAACTGCAACTAAATATTTCCAGTAACTGTTCATCAGTCCTGCTCACCTGCTTGAAGGAATTTTAGCCCATTCCTCTGTACAGAACAGCTTCAACTCTGGGATGTTGGTGGTTTCCTCACATTAACTGCTCACTTCAGGTCCTTCCACAACATCTGGATTGGATTAAGGTCAGGACTTTGACTTGGTCATTCCAAGACATGAACTTTATTCTTCTTGAACCATTCTTTGGTAGAACCACTTGTGTGCTGAGGATCACTGTGTTGCTGCATGACCCACCTTCTCTTGAGATTCAGTTCATGGACAGATGTTCTAACATTTTCCTTTACAAATCTCTGATATAATTCTGAATTCATTGTTCCATCAATGATGGTGAGCCGTCCTGGCCCAGATGCGGCAAAACAGGCCCAAACCATGATGCTACCACCACCATGTTTCACAGATGGAAGAAGGTTCTTATGCAGGAATGCAGTGGTTTCCTTTCTCCAAACAAAACACTTTTTATTTAAAACAAAAAGTTTTATTTTGGTCTCATCCGTCCACAAAACATTCTTCCAACAGTCTTCTGGTTTGTCCACATGATCATCAAACTGCAGACGAGCAGCAATGTTCTTTTAGAAGAGCAGTGGCTTTCTCCTTACAACCCTGCCATGCACACCATTGTTGTTCAGTGTTCTCCTGACGGTGGACTCATGAACATTAACATTAATGTGAGAGAGACCTTCAGTTGCTTAGAAGATTCTCTGGGGTCCTTTGTGACCTCGCTGACTATTACACTCCTTGCTCTTGAAGTGATCTTTGTTGGTCGACCACTCCTGGGGACGGTAACAACGGTCTTAAATGTCCTTCTTTTGTACACAGTCTGTCTGACTGTGGATTGGTGGAGTCCAAACTCTTTACAGATGTTTTGTAATCTTTTCCAGCCTGATGAGCATCAACAACTCTTTTCCTGAGGTCCTCAGAAATCTCCTTTGTTCCTGCCATGATCCACTTCTACAAACATGTTGTGACGCGCAGACTTTGATAGATCCCTGTTAGAGTGCCTATTCACACCTGATCATCATCCCATTGACTAAAAACACCTGACTCTAAAAAATCTCAGTCTTATAAATAGTACCTTCTTGTTAAGAAGGTGCTATTTATAATTAATTATTATTAATTTTCAGATGAAAGACGAAATGTTTCTACAATTAACTTTCTTTTTTTTTTTACCCATCCAAAGGACCTGACAACTTTTTTAGATTTTTCTTCCTGGATTATTAAGCATGCATCACCTGACTCTAATTTCACCTTCAAATTAAATGTTAAGCTTAGAGGTTCACATACTTTTGCCACTCTCAAATTCAATTAAATTCAACTTCAGTTCAGTTTATTTCTATATAGCCCCAGTCACAACAGAAGTCATCTCAGGGCACTGAACAGAAACATTCATATACATAAAAAGTAAGTTATTAACGTTCTTTAACTGAGTAGCAGACTGCTTTGAGTCTTAACTTCATTGCAATATTGGATCATTTTCCTGAATAAATAAATGACCAAGAATAATATTTTTGTCTCATTTGTTTATCTGGGTTCCCTTTTTCATTGTACTTGCGTATAATGACAATAAAGGCATTCTGATTCTGATCTACTTTTAGGACTTGTATGAAAATCTGATGATGTTTTAGGTCATATTTATGCAGAAATATAGAAAATTCTAAAGGGTTCACAAACTTTCAAGCACCACCGTGTATACAGTTAACAATGTGCATGTGTTAATATTTTCTGTCATTGCTATAAACATCTTGACATGTTAAGGGATTCAATGTGCTATTGATAAGATCTCAGCTTTTTCATTCTTACATTCCCAAATCACACTCTCACCTTCACTGTGAAAAAATAAATTAACATTCCTGTAAACTTGAAAACTAAACAAATTTATTGTGCCCTCCAGCTCGCTTCAAGTTTCTTTAATAGTTCTGCAGCATCACTTGAGCTTATCCTGAAAGCAGTGCGTACAGGTTGATGTTATGCAGAATCTCTCAGACACTCAAAACAACATACAGGCAATCAGCGAGACTCGACTTTGCTTTACAGATTGTGAGTTTCATCAGTGAAATTTAGAATATTATGATTACAGGTGATTTTACTTTAGGTCCTGTACCTTCAATGTACCAGTAATCTTTTCAGGGTGTTTATTTTTAACCTGTTAATAGTTTGATGTGCTTGTTTTTTTAATCAACTGAATACTGTGGATTAAATCAATTTATAGCTTAAATAAAACATCTGGTAAAATCCTAAAATATACAAACAAACAAAAAGTTACAGTATACGTTTTAGATTATTCCACAATAATTTAATCAGATTATCAATTTTTTGAGTATGTATAAAATATTGACTAAAGATGCATGTGATCAGGAATTAGAAATAGAAAATAACAATAATGAGTTCACAAGTTTTATGTGGTGTAAATGTGGAAGTTACAGGAACTGTATTATTTATATAGAAGACATTTGTCATAAAATGCAGCAGAGTAAGAGTTCATCAGCTGAGCTTTTTCTCTAGTTTCCTGCTAACCTTTAAAGTACATCTTATATAAATTTACAAATACTTTTAACTAATAAATTACTTCATTATATATACAATTTTAAAGTAATAAATAGCAGTTCTTTGTATGTGTATCAATACGTTCAACTCTCGTCCAATCAGAGTCGTCGTTGTGGCAGCTGGGCAGCGACGTGTCAACGTTTTACAGGTTGTGTCGTCATCAAACCGCGACAAAAATAGACAAACGGAATGTAGTTTTTCCACTTATGTTGTTGAAAATGTGACCATTTGATACGATTTAATCAAATACAGACAGCTGTTTTACTTACAAAAATATCAAGTTTTACTGTTATCCTCTAACGGAATGTTAATCATCTACAAACACAGAGAAAAGCGTTTACTAACAGCAAATTTTCATTCATTCAAAGCTGCAGGAGAGAAGAAATGTTTACATTTCAATACAGCTGGAGATTGTTGTTTTAATGGCAACTCGCGTCTTTTTTAAAAAGTAATTCACATACAAAGAAAGCTAAATGTAGCGACTTACGATCCCTTCCGTGAAGGTGTGCACCATTCCTCCAGGTTTCACGTTAAACTCCACCGTTTTTGTGTTTTCAGGTGATGCTCCAGTCGGGACGCACACTGATATTAACGTACAGAAAAGCAAAAGCGTCACTTTGACAGCAAGTAAGTTTTTTTGGTTAGCCATCTCGTTTGCTCCGGTCTGTCTGTGTGTTGGTGGTGTTTGGCTATAAGCGGCTGCCCCGAGTTTCTTAAGGTCCCGTCGACTGTAAATGACGTCAACATCTCAAGTTCCTTGACAAACCAACAAAAATAAAGAATTGTAAAAATAGTAATTTTAAAAAGGAAATAAAAAAGAATTATATTACCGCATATGTTTTTGTTTTTTTTTATCCAACTTCTGGTGTTTTTTTTAAGAAGCTGACGCGTTTATTTTGACTACTCTTTCTGACCACAAGGTCTTGCACTTAATTAATAAAACCATGTTGTTTTAGGATGACAAATGAACAAGAAATTATTATTATTATTATTATTATTATTATTTTTATTATTATTATATTTGAGTACTCTATCACAAGTTAGTCATGAAATCATACTCAAGAATGTCTAAGGTTCAAATTAATTTCACTAAAGTTATTACAAATAAATTACACAATTTACAAGATGAAATTTTGCTGAGACACAGAGTACTCAAAGTAAATGTAAGTGTGAGTGTAATTAACATTTTAGCTATATGGTGAACAATCAGAGTGAGGCAGACGCGTAACATGAACAGAATATACATTTGGCTGAGCTCTTAAGGGCGAGATGGGGAAAAATGAGGAAATGTTTGGTTCAAACAAACTGGGAAGTGAATTTTGAATTGATAAAGTAAAGATAACTCTCTAGGGTCCTTATTGCTACACAGTTTATAAGACCTGGGTTCCTTTGTCTGTTTGTCTACAGTCTGTCTAGTAATTGGACAGACTTTTGGAAAGTTGAGGTATTTGATCTACGTTAAAAAATGAGCTACAATGTCAAAATTTTATAGAGTTTAATCTGCTGCTTTTCGGTTTTTATTATAAAGGATAAAAGAAGAGAAAACAAAACCAGTGCTGAAATGTCAGAAGAGTTAGGCTAACATGTACGTCTTTGTTCATGTTTCCAGAGATTTCATTTTCAGGTGTGACATTAAGAGAGCCGATTTCTCCCAAACATTGAGGCCTCTTCTCACACCACTGACATGCATACAGCCCCATCCAGTCATTTCTGACAATATGTTTGATACTTAATGTCCCTCATGGATGAGTGATATGAACACATATAGTTTGCTATGATCACCGAACGTCTGATGAACTCAAGTGCTTCTCTTACAGCGTTTTTCAGACACAAACACCTATGGATCTGCCTAAAACATATAACACGTTTCTGTAACAGATGCTTCTTGTGTACATTCTCCTTACTGAGTACTTGTACAGGAGACAGTACTTACGTCTGCTCCTGCATGTCTGCACAAATGTGTGTTTTAAAGCCCACAAAGCATCCTCCATGTGTTGTAATCACTCATGTTTGGTTGGAGAAGAGACACCCCAACATTGTCTGGCACTCATGTGTAAAACCCACAAACCAACAGGAACCTTTAGAGCAACATTCAGGCACAAAACAGCTGGAGGGTTTTTAGCTTGACAGCCTGCCTGACCTCAACTTCCCCTCTGTCTGTGCCCCATCACCTCCTCCTCAAGCCAAGTTACACTTTCCATCCCAAGAATAATACACCTAAAGACAGGATGTGTTCACTCAGGCAGCCAGCTGGGTGTACTATTTACACAGCTCCAGAAAGACAAGCATCACCATCATCAGATGGATTTTCTTGCAAACAGAAAACCGCCACTGCTGAGCCTAATGATTTGTAAAATGTTCTTGTTCTTCCCAGGTAAACCTTGTTTGTACTCGGTGCGTCAGAGAACTCCGGGAGAGGAAAAAAAAATGTGTGTGACAGTCGTTTCCTCGCTGCTGGCACAAATAACTTCCACTCTTCCACTCGTCTCTGCCGTAGACAAACAGCTCCCTCAAAAGTAAACACGAGCCTCAGACAGAGAAACAGAACATTTGCATTAAGTGGGCGCCAAATGGTTTCACTAACGATGCAAGCTCATTTTCCAGACTTTACACACACAGTAGGCAGCAGTAAAACCAGCACTCCAGTCCCTTAACGGTTATATGTTACACTGTAAGTGTGTTTGTGTTGAGTTATTGTAGACTAGTCCTTAATTGCTGCAAAACTTCACTGTTTTGTTGGTTAATTGAAAAAAAAAATCTAAATACCTTCCAGCTTAATTTGAATAAAATCTTAAAATGTATTATTGCATGATAAGCTTCACACCACAGGCTCATCATACTGCAGTTATTCTATTCATTGCATTAAGTTGACGTCTAAATTAAACTGGAAAATTAACTTTAAGCGTTTATTATTGTGGAAAATATTGTTGATTACTGTGTCATTTGTCAAAGTGTAATTATAGATGGAGTCTTTGAAGTTGCATTTGTTTGTCAGATTATCCAACATGTCAGTGTCATCTCATAAAACTTGAAGCGTGTGTTCTTGATATGATTGGATCAGATCGCTTCATATGTGTAGCATCCTATCGCATCATATAAGCGTTTTTGTTTTTAATATTGCTGTGTAATCCTTGTAAAAACCAAGTTTTATTCTTAGTGCAAGACTGTCACTCCAAGGTTTATTGTGTTTTTTTATTTTTTTTACTTCTTGTGTCGTGTGGAATTAGCAAAGAATCTTCTTGTAATATGTATAAAAGTAATATGTAATGTGAGAAGAAATGGTTTCTGGCGTTGACTGTATAAATGTGTGTGTGTGTTTAATATGAAGACCTATGATTCAGTCACTAAAATAAAGTGTGCACCTGTCTTAGTGTCATATTTGTGGGAAAAAATGCAATTGCATAGGTGATATTCAGTAATGAGAGGCCACTATTTATTAATATGTTGCTAAGGTCATTAAATACACGGCCTAAATGAAAGTAAAACAAACCCATGCTTCATAAAGCATCCCACTGCAAAGACTGATTAGTGTTGACAGTGATGTCAGTAAACATCTGCTTCTGTATGCGTGCATTACTAAGATGGTGTGATGATTTAATCATCAGGCTGCAATGCCTCATGAAGCTGTGACAACAAGTTATTCATCAAGAAGCCACACAGCGAACTGCTTGTGGTTATTCAACCATATTTCTCTGGGCAAGGGAGACCCAGCAGACGTGGGAACATTACATTTGTGCTGATGCTTTTCGTGTTTAACACAGGCATAAAGGCACATTTTATTTTAATGACCTTTGTAAAGTGGCTCTCAAGGCTTGTGCAGTCAGTTTTGTTGCCTTCATTGAAAATTGTTTAAAGCAAGCAAAGAGTCTGGGTTCAGGAAGAATATTTTACTTTGTGTTGAAGGAACAAATTGGCATTCCTCATGCGTCACTGCAGTCTGGCCTGTTGGCTCTGACACGTGTTGACTGGGATCCTCGCTCCTTTGGGCCCGGCCTCTCAGACGGTCAGCCTATGGTAAGAATGGCTCCGTCCAGGAGCCGCTGAGGTCAGCGGTTTGCAGTCGGATTTTCCTGGCCGCCTGCGAATCTGTGGAATTTCTCTCCACCTTGCCATCTTGAGCAGGGACAGTTCTGCCCATCCTTTTGCCTCACAGGCTCAGCACGCCTGAGCAAACAGCCCCAGGGGTTTGCTCTGACCCACCATCAGGTTGAGATTCACATCAGCAGCTTGCAATGCTCTGACCAAACACCTGCGCTCAACAGAAAAGCCATATTTGGCTCACAACACCAGTCAAGTAAATCTGATGTCATTTGAATCCTGGATTATTATTTGGGCTTCATATTTATATTTCAGGTACACCTGCACCTACATCTGGACCTGCCATTCTGTGTTCATGTGCCTCTCCTTCCTGTCCTCTCAAACCCAGCCGGTCAAAGCAGATGGCTGCTTGTCCTCCTGAGCCTGGTTCTGCTGGAGGTTTCTTCCTTGTCAAAGGGAGTTTTTCCTTTCCACTGTTGCCACTGTGCTTGCTCAAGATGGGGAAACTGCAACAAAGTGAATATTCATTGAGTCTGCTGGCTTCCTTAGATAGAGAACTTTACTAATTGGTTTTTCTATGTATGTGAATGTTCCTGCAAAGTGCCCTGAGCCAACTTTGTTGTGATTTGGTGCTATATAAATCAACTGAATTGAATTGAATATTTATCAGCGTACTGGTCTCTGTTGTGATTTCAAAAATGTCAGAAGACATTTTTGGTTTTAAAAGTCTCACAGATTTACTTTGTTGCTGTTATAAGCTGGTCTTGTTAAATAAAATGGTCTGTAATATGGCTAAACATAATTTTACAGAAGAAAAAGACCATTAAAACCTCATTTTTTAACCAGATTTACCATTGCAAGCCTGACATTTGTGGTGAAAAGCAACTCAACAGAGTGCTCGACTCACATGGAGTCACTGCCAGGTGATTGAATGTCTCAATCACTCACCTGCTGGAACCCAAATGACAAACACACATAAACAAGCTCATGGTGTGACGCACTGTTTATTTTCCTGCTGTTTCCAAAACTTAAGTATGCAAAGTGCAATAATTGCAGGTATTTCTCCGAGGTGCATTACCACAGAAGCAGTTGGGAAATGAGCCACTAAAATGCTCTAAATGAGCCTGACTTCATGTCGTATGGAAATTTACTCCAATTATCCCATCAGCAATGAGGATTTTGACACTGATTTTAACACTCTGTTTTTAAAAATCTAAATAAACTATTTAAAAATACATATTTATATAACTAGCAATACAAATAAACTCATTTCAATGAGTAAAACGTTACATTTGAGCAGTCACAACAGCAAATGTGGACATGACGCAGTTAGTTTTTTATTGTAAAATTTTCCACACTGTTACGTCAAGACATATTTATTATTATTCAACATATTTTAATGTTGTCATGATAAAAATGAATGCTTATAAATTAAATTAGAGAGGCAACATAAGCACTAGTCTCTTAACACTCTTTCCTATTGCACATACCATACAGTTTTGCATTTCAGTGAAACACACTCAGGTTTATTCTAACAAATAAAAAAATATATGACATGGCTTGCTTTAACTGCAGCCCATTATAAAATATGAACACAAAGACTGAGTAAAAGTCTGAGTAACAGTAAAACAGCATCAAACAGAGTAGCAGCTTTACATTAAGAGCATCAAAAGTTTATACTTCTGTGTGAACGGTTTAATCTTCAGCTGATCAGCTCCTGTAAAACATAAATATCCATGATTAACTATGTGCCTGTTTTTAACACATTATAGTTAATGAGAAAACTCCATGTGCTGCGCTTACACAACAATCCTGCAGTTTGCCGCCTGGACGTGGATTCCTGTGTACCTGATGTCGCACCGCACCTCGTTGTTGGAGAAATCTGACTCCTGGACCAGCTGGGAGGGGTTCACTGTCACCTGGAAAACGCCCAGAAAAACAGCATTTCAGCTGATTTCAGCTAAAAGATGCTGCAGGAGCATTTAAATTTGAAAAAAAAAAAGTGAGTCCTTTTAAATCAGCTCTACCTTGAGTATGTAGTTTCCTGGCTGCACGTCGGTGATGTCGATCCACTGGCAGTCAATGTTGGCGTGATATGTGTCGTAGCAGCCAGGGCCGAGCCCCTAAAAACAACCAAAGTTTTCTTCACCTCCATGTTCACTCGCATCTCAACTCACTGTGCATTATTGCGGTTCAAATCCAGGAGTAAATCCTAACCGAGTCTCGGCCCAGACTCACCTGTGTGTGAGCAGTGCACGCGTAGCGCCGTCGCACGCCGGGGTCGCAGGACGTGTCCTCCAGACAGAAACTGGCTTTGTGTCCCTCAGCAACCTTCTGTCCAGTGGAGACATCCAGCAGGTCGTAGTTACTGAAGGCCTCCATACTGTGGTAATGTCTGGAGGGAGATGTACACAGATTCATGGTACTCTGATTACTTAAAAATCCACACTAAAAACTGCCTGACATGATTTGTTGTTAATATTTAGGACAGTGTTTATCTGAGCACACACCACCTGTGTGTTTGTCTGAGGTGTTAGCAAAATATCTCATGAGCCAATGGACAACCTTTAATGAAACTCTCAGAATATATTCAATGAATATCGATTTAGAACTGATTACTTCTGGAGTCAGTCAACTCCATTAAGATGGCCACCACAGCTGTGATCTTAGAAAACATACAAATATCAGTCAGTGTTGCAGATATTGAGCTAAAATTTGGTGCACTAGTACAAAACTTCTTAAAAGTACAAAAGCAACAATTAAAATAGTGTTATTTCTAGTTCAGTAATCTTGTATTGAGACATTAGAAGGTAAAGGTCAGTATGCAGAGGCCAGAATGTTTTTTTAATATATAGTGAACTCACTGGTGACAGCTGTGCCATTCCCACTCGTGTCTGGGTTTTAATGGAAGGAAGTCTGCCGTTCCCTGGTTCTTGACTCGCTGTGGGAACCGCAGCAGAACTCTGTAGTCCAGGTCACTCACACCGGGTTGATAGGCAGACCTGAGAGGAGAGGAAACAGGAGTGGGCCAGCGTCACCTCCGTATCCTTCGTACAAGTCTGGGATTGATGTACCGCCTCGTCTTTACGTAGTTCTGCCATGCATGGGCAGGTTTTACTTTCAGCCCAGACTCTTTGCCTCTTTTGTCCTTCCAAGGTTTATTTTTCTTGGCTAAAGCTCTCCTTGGATCAAAGGAGAAAACACTGAGCAGGTTTACTCTGTCACTCAGCTGTGACATCCAAGTGGGCTAAAACACATTTCCTGAAGCTGCAGCCATTAGGATTCCTTTGATAAATTTACTCATATTTAAGCATTTTTATGACTCAGTGCACATATTTACCTCAGTAGAAAGCATGTGTCTATTAAAGAAAGGACTGGTGTGCACTTTCCTTTACCTGAATGGCATACATTTAGTAGAAAAAAGCAGCACCTGGAAAGGCAGTTCTCCTCTGCAGCACAGCGAAGCGCATACATCTGAACTCTCTGGATGTAGGAGGCAGCTTGGATGTAGTACGGGTCAGGTATCAGGTCTGGGAGACCTGTAGAGAAATAAAAAAAAAACATTTTGGTGCTTGGAGTCAAAGATGCACAAAATGAATAGAGACAGATATTTTAATATTGCATGTATTAATGTAATTAATCATAACGATCATAATCAATCATTTAGGTTATAAGCAAAAGATGTGGGCATAACTAGCTCACGTGAAGTGATTTTAATTCTGATACATGCTGCTATAAAGCATGCAAAAAAAGATGCACCAACCTTGCAGACAATCAAAAGTAATTTCTCCTCTTCCGGTTGTAAATCAGATAATTAAACCAATCCAGACAAACATATAATTTAACTAATGACTTAATATACATCTTATTAGTAAACAACTCTAAATAAGTCAGTTGTTGAAGTAATTTATAGTAAATAGTTTAAATATGGTATTTAATCCAATCTGTTTTTAATCCTGGCTGCTGTCTCTCAGTCTCTTCTCACCGTTGTGGAAGAATCTGGTTCCGTAGCCAGTACCGGCTAGATCCATCCCGTTCTGTCGGTTCCTGAGGTCCGGTGGGGAAACGTTGTAGAAAACTGAGTTCCTGTGATGGATGCTGTGTGGATCCCTGCGGTCATCTGTCGTCTCCGGTCTCCTGCGGGGAAAGTGAATCTCTACAGCGTTACTGGATGGAGGAGAGTCACTGGACTCCGGGCTGGCTCTGGTCAGGGACTGGGCTCTGGTCTGGTCTTCTGTCCAGGTGACCCAAACAGATGCAGGAGGCGAATCCGAGCTCTCGGACTCCAAAATGGGGACTCGCCTCTGCGTTAAATCGTGCGCTCTGGCCGGAGCCGGACTGGCCTGCTGTGCGTCCTCGGGCGCACTGCGGCCCCCTCTGGGAACTCCTCCGCCGGAGAACTCTTGGATAGAGGTTCCGTTAGATGGAGCTTGGTGGGTGAGGGTTCGACTGTGAGTACCAGGCCGTCCGGAGGTGAGCAGGTACTGACCCGAATCAGCAGTAAGAACTGACGCATCCATCTGCTCAGACTGATCCCCGGATGCGCCCCCGGATCTGGTCCTTGTGGATCCACTGAGAGCAGCGGGCGACTGAATCTGGTTCAAACTGTTCTTTGTCGTCAGGAAGAGCTGCGTGCGTCTCCTGCTCTGAGAGGGTGAACGGTACTCGGTCCCGGTGCTGAGTAAGCTGTACAGCTGGCCGTTGTTCTCCCACTGGATCCGGTGTCTCCACGGGCCGGTGTGCGCGCGTAAAGGCTCCTGGCCGGCACCAAAACACACCAGAACAGCAAGCAGCCAGATCAGGAGAAACCAGAGCCTCTCCATCATGGCTCATGGAAGTTCTGTTTGTGTCCTAGTGGAGCTGAAACATTTAAACCGGACACGAGGGGGGAGATGGGGCTTGAATGGAAAGCCCTTCATTTCGTCATGCTGCTGCGCGCAGGGGGTGGGGTGGGGGGGGGGGGGGGGGGGGGTGACACGACTTCCAGCAAAGTTAAGTCAGGTCCTCTGGACGGTTTATTTTTGTTGAAACGTTTCGTCTTTCATCCAAAAGACTTCATCAGTCTGAGGAGCCACAACAAACTCAGTTCCATAAGCACACTCACATAGTGGTCCAGCCATGGTGATAAGATGGTTTCTGGAGTCCACCCTGTCCCCCATCGACTCCTCTGAGGCAACCATGACCAAAGTGGTTCAAATCATCAAAGTTCATGCTTAATAATCCAGGTTATAAAAAATCCAACAAAGTTAAATCAGGTAAGGCAGCACAGTGGCACAACTGGTAGAATTGCTGCCTCTCAGAGAGCAGGTCCCCGGTTCAAATCCCGGTCCAGGGGCCTTTCTGGGTGGAGTTTGCATGTTCTCTCCGTGCATGCATGGGTTTTCTCCGGGTACTCCAGTTTCCTCCCACAGACCAAAAACATGCATGTTAGGCTGATTGGTAACTCTAAATTGTCCCTAGGTGTGAGTGAGAGTGAATGGTTGTTTGTCTCGTTTGTCTATATGTGGCCCTGTGGTGGACTGAAGACCTGTCCAGGGTGTACCCCGCCCCTCACACAGTGACATGGGCACCGGCGACCCTCGTGACCCAAAATGGAAGAAGCGGGTAAAAGATAATGGATGGATGGTTAAGTCAGGTCATCTGGACCTTTTTTTAAAAAAAACATTTCATCTTTAATCCAAAAAGCATTAGTGAGTCCTCCCCCTTCTTTATTATTTTCAGAACTTACCAGACTTCATCCTCACTAATCTTTCTCACTTCCTGGAACACAGTTTCTTTGACCTCTACTCTTCTTTCTCTTTCATTCTCTTCATTCATTAGCTCCTCAAAGTATTCCTTCCATCTTCCCATCACAGTCTCCTCACTTGTTAGAACATTACCATTCCTATCCTTAACAAGCCTAACCTGCTGCACATCCTTTCCAGCCTGATCCCTCTGTCTCACTAATCTGTACAAGTCCTTCTCACCTTTTTTAGTGTTCAGCCTCCCATACAACTCATCATACGACTTCGGTTTTGCTACCTCCCTCTTTGCTCTACATTGCATCTCCTTTAATTCCTGTCTCTCACTGTCATATTTCTTCTTGGCTAGCCTCGTTTTTAGACTAGCTTCCTGCACTTCACTATTCCACCACCAGGTTTCCATCCGTTATCTTTACCTGCTTCTTCCTTTTTGGGTCACGGGGGTCACAGGTGCCCATATCCAGCAATCACTGTGCGAGAGGTGGGGTACAACCTGGACAGGTCTATCACAGGGACAGATAGAGACAAACAACCATTCACTCTCTCACTCACACCTAGGGAAAATTTAAAGTTACCAATCAGCCTAACATGCATGGTTTGGTCTGTGGGAGGAAACCATAGTACCTGGAGAAAACCCACGCATGCACGGAGAGAACATGCAAACTCCACCCAGAAAGACCCCTGGACCGGGATTTGAACCGGGGACCTTCTCGTTGAGAGGCAGCAGCTCTACCAACTGTACCACCGTGCTGCCCACCACCAGGTTTCCTTATCATCTATTCTCTGTCCAGATGACACACCAAGTACCTTCCTACAGTCTTTAATTACTGTTGCTGTAGCCCTGTCATTTAATGCTCTTTACTCAGAGCCTTTAGCAGCTCCTCTCTGAATTTCTCACATCATTCTTCCTTCTTCAGTTTCCACCATTAACTTTTAGGCAAAGTAAACTTTTTACTCTATGTAAATAAAATGCAAACTACAAACTGATACACACATTTTATTGGTTAAATTTTATTGGTTTGTTTTTACAGTGCATAAACTGGTCATTTAAACTGATTCTAACTGATCATTATGGTCCATTTACAAACCCCTGGGACAAAAGTGAGTTTAAAGCGTAATTTATGAACATGCCAGTTTAGTTTGAGGCCCAGCTTGTCCCAGAAGATGAATGTTTGGGTCAGTCAGGGGACCAGGAAATAGACACCAGCATCAGTCAAGATATGTAGGCTACAAATATAACCAAATATTGAAGAAAAAAAATAAACATTTCTCCAGTTTAGCTGAAATGTTATAAAGCAGTTGAAACTAAGCGACAAACAGGATCCACTGACTTCTGTTCACCTCTTCACCACATGATGGCAGTGGATCCTCACCGACAACGTGCTCTGCTGCAGAACTGCTTTTTAAACAGACAAGACACTCAAATATAACATCACTTATCAGTCTAAACCTGAACTATATTCATTTTCATTGCAATCATTTATTTAAAACACTAGTAACTTCAAGAAATATAAAATACAACTACAAAATTAAATTGGACACCATCTGATCCTTATCATTTTGCATATTGCTTTGTGTGTTGCCTGTTTTTCTGTCTGTACAGCACTTTGGTTGGCCTTGTCGCTGTTTTAAGTGCTCTACAAATAAAATGGTAAGTATGGTATGGTATTAACATCTATACCAGAAGAAAATGAGCAACTTGTGGAGCAAACAAAGGCTGCAAAAACAGTGAAATAATTTTCACTCCAACTTTGTTCTTGTTCTATTTAGAAGCTTCTTTGTTTTTGCGAGTTCTTGTCAATTCTAATGCATATGGTAGTTTTACATTTAGTTAGAAGAACCTGAAATTACTTAGAAACAAGAGGATGTAGCTTTGTGTTTAAAGGAGCTCAAAGTCTAATACAAACCGGATTCCAAAAAAGTTGGGACACTAAACAAATTGTGAATAAAAACTGAATGCAATGATGTGGAGGTGCCAACATCTAATATTTTATTCAGAATAGAACACAAATCACAGATCAAAAGTTTAAACTGAGAGAATGTATCATTTTAAGGGAAAAATATGTTGTTTCCAAATTTCATGGCGTCAACAAATCCCAAAAAAGTTGGGACAAGTCCATTTTTACCACTGTGTGGCATCCCCCCTTCTTCTTACAACACTCAACAGACGTCTGGGGACAGAGGAGACCAGTTTCTCAAGTTTAGAAATAGGAATGCTCTCCCATTCATGTCTAATACAGGCCTCTAACTGTTCAATCGTCTTGGGCCTTCTTTGTCGCACCTTCCTCTTTATGATGCGCCAAATGTTCTCTCTAGGTGAAAGATCTGGACTGCAGGCTGGCCATTTCAGTACCCGGATCCTTCTCCTACGTAGCCATGATGTTGTGATTGCTGCAGAATGTGGTCTGGCATTATCGTGTTGAAAAATGCAGGGTCTTCCCTGAAAGAGATGATGTCTAGATGGGAGCATATGTTGTTCTAGAACCTGAACATAGTTCTCTGCATTAATGGTGCCTTTCCAGACATGCAAGCTGCCCATGCCACAAGCGCTCATGCAACCCCATACCATCAGTGATGCAGGCTTCTGAACGGAGCGTTGATAACAACTTGGGCTATCCTTGTCCTCTCTGGTCCGGATGACATGGTGTCCCAGTGTTCCATAAAGAACTTCAAATCGTGACTCATGTGACCACAGAACAGTCTTCCATTTTGCCACACTCCATTTTAAATGACCCCTGGCCCAGTGCAAACGTCTGAGCTTGTGGAGCTTGCTTAGAAATGGCTTCCTCTTTGCACTGTAGAGTTTCAGCTGGCAACGGCGGATGGCACGGTGGATTGTGTTCACTGACAATGCTTTCTGGAAGTATTACTGAGCCCATTCTGTTATTTCCTTGACAGTGGGATTCCTGTTTGAGGTGCAGTGACGTTTAAGGGCCCGGAGATCACGAGCATCCAGTAGAGTTTTACGGCCTTGACCCTTACGCACAGCGATTGTTCCAGATTCTCTGAATCTTTTGATGATGTTATGCACGGTTGATGATGATAACTTAAAAGTCTTTGCAATTTTATGCTAGGTAACACCATTCTGGTATTGCTGCACTATCTTTCTGCGCAACAATGGTGGAATTGGTAATCCTCTTACCATCTTGGCTTCTGAGAGACACTGACACTCTGAGAAGCTCTTTTTATACCCAATCATGTTGTCAACTGACCTTATTAGTGTTAATTGGTCTTCCAGCTGTTCGCTATATGCTCATTTTCATTTTTACAGCCACTTATTAATACTTGTCCCAACTTTTTTGGGATTTGTTGACACTGTGAAATTTTGAATCAACATATTTTGCCTTTAAAATGTTACATTTACTCAGATTAAACTTTTGATGTGTCATCTATGTTGTATTACGAATAAAATATTGACATTTGCCATCTCCACATCATTGCAGTCAGTTTTTATTCACAATTTGTTTAGTGTCCCAACATTTTTGGAATCCGGTTTGTACTAAAAATATGACAAAGTGGCTGATGGAGGAAGAAAGTTCACCCAAAGAGTTGGATTGATGCAAAACTACCAAATTAGCATTTGAATAGAATAAATGTCAGATTTGTATGGGGTGCCGTTTGTAAAGTTACACAGTCAAAAATTATCAGCAATATTTTGGTTTATTTAGCCTTTCATAAGAAAAAAAATACTCTTTTTTTTAAGTCATATTTTCCCCGTTTATAAATGTCATAGTTCCAAACTAAATATTTAATTTATAAGCTAAATATTTAGTTTACAAACTAATACTTAACTTGCAAGTTAAATATTTAATTAGCAAACTAAATATTTAGTTCCACACTAAATATTTAGTTTACAAACTAAACATTTAACTTGCAAGTTAAATATTTAGTTAGCAAATTAAAGATTTATTTTGGAAATTAAATGTTTAGTTTGGAAAATAAATATTTAGATCTGAGCTAAATATTTAGTTGTTTAGTTGTGTTTAGTTTTGAAAATAAATATATAGCTTGGAAATTTAATATTTAATTTACACCTAAATATTTAGTTCACTAATTAAATATTTAATTTGCAAGTTAAGTAT